CTGTTTTTTCTGCTTCAGGTGCTAAAGGTCAGCAGTGCTCACGCCCTATGGAGTAGGAGATATATGAACTCTGCCCAGGTATGGCCTTTGGGGTCTGGCCTTCTTGCAGTCTTGCTACTCATTATTTCCTTGTGCTGACTATTTCTGAGCTTCCCTGAACCTCTGTGCCACTGGCCTGCAGATGGATTCAGCATGTCCCACAGCCTGGCCCACCACTAAAAACACAGCCAGGGAGGACACTGGGGCGGATAGTCCTCTGCTCCTTCCCTCTGCCCCATGTGCTCTATCTGCCTGTGGATGACAACATTGCAAATTGCAAATCTTAAACCCCTCGAGCAACCCTCTGCCTTACTACTGCCTCAACATGTTCTGCTTTGATTTCTGTGCACTGGTTTGCATCAACCTTAACACCGCTCTGCAGGACCATGTGTATCATCATTCACAATGAGACAAATATGACAAACTCCTTTGGGCCTTTTAGTGAGGGTAAAGTGTAAAAATGGTCTTCCTTGGGATGGCACCAGCTCTGGTTGAAACTTTTCTTAGTATTTCAGTTAGAAGATCCCCCAGAAAGGGCTGGGACAAGCAAAGATGTCACTTTTGTGTGGGTTTTACGTCTGCTCAGAGATGGGCCTCCACTACAGCTTTCCTCAAGGTGAGATGCTTATTGTGTCACTCACCCCCACTCTCTCTAATCAACCAGCTGCTTTCACAAAGCTGGCAGAAGAATGCAAGGATCCCAGTCTGGAATGTGCCAAACACAGCTGAAAATGGCAAAAGAAGGATCAAAAAGTTACTGGGTGGGCTGGAAGACTTACACAGCCAATCACTCGCAGTCTAGGAGGTTCCTCCAGTGCATTGATGGTAACTTCTTAATGCAAATGGTGGACAAACCAACTAGGAGAGGAGCGCTGCTGGATCTAGTACTCACCAACAAGGAGGGTCTGGTTGAAGTGGTGATGGTCAGTGGCAGCCTTGGCTGCAGTGACCATGAGATGATGGAGTTTAGGATCCTGTGTGGGAGGAATAGAATACCTAGCAAAGCCACAATTCTGGATTTCCGAAGGGCCAACTTTGGCCTGTTCAATCAACTGCTAAGAGAAGTCTCATGGGAAAGGGTATTAGGTGGGAAAGGGGCTCAAGATAGCTGGTCAGCATTTAAGGACCACTTCTTCCAAGCTCAGGATCAGAGTGTCCCAATGGGTAGGAAATCAAGTAAGGGAGCCAGGAGACCAGCGTGGTTAAACAAGAAATTGCTGGGCAAACTCATGTGGAAAAAGAGAATCTATGGATTATGGAAGGAGGGGCTGGCCACTTGGGAGGAATATAGGGCAGTTGTTAGAAGATGTAGGGAAGCAATTAGGACAGCTATGGCCTCTTTGAACTTAATCTTGCAAGTCGGGTTAAGGACAATAGAAAGGGCTTCTTCAAACACATGGCGGATAAAACTAACACAAGAGGCAATGTAGGCCCACTGCTGAATGAGGTGGGTGACCTGGAGACAGAGGATATAAAGAAGGCAGAGGTGCTGAATGCCTTCTTTGCCTGTGTCTTTACGCCTGCAGACTCTCCCCAGAGGCCCCAGATTCCTATAGCCCCAGAAGGAGTCGGGATAAAGGAAGAGTTTGCTTTGGTAGATGAGGATTGGGTTAGGGATCAGTTAAGCAGTCTGGACATCTATAAATCAATGGGTCTGGATGGAATACACCCACGGGTGCTGAGGGAGCTGGCGGAGGTCATTGCTCAGCCACTCTCCATCATCTTTGGTAATTCGTGGGAAACAGGAGAGGTGTCTGAGGATTGGAGGATGGCAAATGTCACGCCAGTCTATAAGAAGGGCAAGAAGGAGGACCCAGGTAATTATAGACCGGTCAGCCTTACCTCCATCCCTGGAAGGGTGATGGAACAACTTATTCTTGACACCATCTCTAGACATATCAAGGATGAGGGGGTCATTAAGAGCAGCCAACATGGTTTTACCAAGGGGAAGTCATGTTTGACCAACCTCATAGCCTTCTATGCGGAAGTAACTAGGTGGATGGATGATGGTAGAGTGGTAGATGTGGTTTTTCTTGGTTTCAGTAGGACATTTGATACTGTCTCCCACAGCATCCTCATAGATAAGCTAAGGAAGTGTGGGCTCGATGATCAGGTAGTGAGGTGGATCAAGAGCTGGTTGAAGGCAAGAAGGCAGAGAGTTGTAGTCAATGGGGCAGAATCTAGCTGGAGGTCTGTGACTAGTGGAGTACCTCAGGGGTCAGTGCTGGGACCAGTGCTGTTTAATATTTTCATCAACGACCTGGATGAGGGAACTGAGTGTACCCTCAGCAAGTTTGCTGATGACACTAAACTGGGAGGAGTGGCTGACACACCAGAAGGCTGTGCTGCCATTCAGCGAGACCTGGACAGGCTGGAGAGCTGGGAGGGGAGAAACTTGATGAAATTCAACAAGGGCAAGTGTAGAGTCTTGCATCTGGGGAAGAACAACCCCATGTACCAGTACAGGTTGGGGACTGACCTGCTGGAAAGTAGTGAAGGGGAAAGGGACCTGGGGGTCCTGGTGGACAGGAGGATGACCATGAGCCAGCAATGTGCCTTTGTGGCCAAGAAGGCAAATGGCATCCTAGGGTGCATTAGAAAGGGTGTGGTTAGTAGGTCAAGAGAGGTTCTCTTACCCCTCTATTCTGCCTTGGTGAGGCCGCATCTGGAATATTGCATCCAGTTCTGGGCCCCTCAGTTCAAGAAGGACAGGGAACTGCTTGAAAGAGTCCAGCGCAGAGCCACAAAGATGATTAAGGGAGTGGAACATCTCCCTTATGAGGAGAGGCTGAGGGAGCTGGGTCTCTTTAGCTTGGAGAAGAGGAGACTGAGGGGTGACCTCATCAATGTTTACAAATATGTAAAGGGTGAGTGTCAGGATGATGGAGCTAGGTTTTTTTCAGTGATGTCCAGTGATAGGACAAGGGGCAATGGGTGTAAACTGGAGCATAGGAGGTTCCATGTGAACATCAGGAAAAACTTCTTTACTGTGAGAGTGACAGAGCACTGGAACAGGTTGCCCAGGGGGGTTGTGGAGTCTCCCACATTGGAGATATTCAAGGCCCGCCTGGACAAGTTCCTGTGTGATGTACTCTAGGTTACCCTGCTCTTGCAGGGGGGTTGGACTAGATGATCTCTTGAGGTCCCTTCCAACCCTTGGGATTCTGTGATTTTGTGATTCTGCGAAATAGTGCACTCAGAAAGAACATGACTTTGTAAATCTTACTTTCTTATGCTGATGAGCCAAACCCTGTGAGGTCCAGAGGCAAGCCAGGGTGATGTGTAGTACTGTAAATGGCAAAGACAGGGAGCTGGTACTGAGGCATTGAGGCCCCCTAACTGGAGGCAAGGAGCTGTGCAGTTGTGAATGCTTTGACAAAAATTAAGGGATTTTGCAGAAGTCATCTTAGTGGCTGTGGGGTAGTAGCTGTCATGCCTAAGACACCAATGCGGTACACCTTCAGCTACAGAATTTTCTTTGCTCAGATGATCATAGACTGCAACAGCGAATTTCCTGTAAATTGAAGCTTTCAGGCTTAGAATGCAGCTCTCCCCTTTAAATTCCTTTTCGTTCCTCTCCCCTCCTTTCCGATTAAAGAACCAGCATAACAAATATCATTTAGTAGCATCTCTAAACACATCATAAAACAGGCAGTTTTTAAAAAAATACAAATTCTGCAAGAAAGTATATCCCAGGATTGATATTTAATTGACAGGCTGATGAAGCAAACCATGCTTGTTCATATATCTGTCTGTCAGTCGCTAGATTATTATGCACCATTAAGGGGGTTTACAGAAAATACGGTTTTCTTCTGGAAAATCATGACTTTACATATTTCAACTACTGGATTAAGACACTTATATTATTTTCATTTCATCTTTATCTCTAACATGTACACTTAGTCAGTTTTATTCTCTTTATTATGGAGCATCAAAAAAAAGTAAAAGGCCAGCCAGGGACTTCAGGAACAGAGAATTATGCTTTCCAAGGACTGGTGATGTTCAAAGCAGAGACTGATACATGGCAGACATTGAAAACACTGCACAGACACCAAACAGTTGAATTTAGAGCCTCCTATAACCAAGCAACCTTTTTTACTCTTGCAGCCATTGGATTTAATTGAAGTGGTGTCTTTTAGAGAAGAATTCTTCAGCACAAACTCAATGACATCTTAAACTGACATGGGATATGAGGATAAACTGTCCATACAGAATAGAAACACACAAAATGCGCATCTACAATATTTCAGGATTAAACGCAGTAGGACTGGGAACCTAACCTGGTTATACAGCAGCAACCTCAGCCCCAAAGTAAATGTCCCTGCAGTTACAGGCTTGCACACACAGCACTGACTCATAAGGAGCCAGCAAATGGAAAATTGTTGCCGAGCTGTTCAGCCCAACATGCGCAGCTTTGCGTAGTGTTGAGGATAGCCAGCCTTCTCCTGCTGCGGTGTGTGTAGTCCAAGTTGGTCAAATCAATCCGATGCGCTAAAGCCAGTACTGTCTGTGATGAGTAGTGACCTAGAGACAAAACCTTCCCTGCTGGCCTTATACCTGAGCTAGAGCATGCAAAGGTTTTTACAGCAGAACCTATAGACTGGGATCACTGCTAACCTGATGAGAGACATGTGGCTTGGAAAACTTGCTGAAGCTCATGAAACTCTTGGTATCATGAAGTAAAGGGGCACTTTGGTGGCATGCAAAGTAGCAGGATTTCAAATGTCACAGTAACATGTAGTTTTCAAATGTGGTTGCCTTATAGAGTAACCACATTCTAATACTAAGTCAGTTTGCCTTCAGCTGTGATTAAGTGCGTAAGACCTGTCTGACTGCAAACATAAATGTAAACGCATGCTTTTTTGATCTGGGACTTTCATTTGTGCACAGACATTGTGGAAGATGGGGAGCCCTTATTTTAGATTGTATTGAAAATGTTACAGTGTCGGGGGATTAGGGTTTTTTGTGCTTTTATTGGCTGACTTCAAACAAGGACAGGAGAAAGAGCATTGGTACGGTCAGGACTGTGGTAGCTCATCTAAGAACCATGCCAAAAAACTAGCTGTTGTACAGGGAGAGAAATAGAGAAAAAATGTAAATTAACTCAAAGCTGAGAGAGAGTTATAATCAGGAGAGAAAAATTAAGCCAGGTAGAGTTGTCTTTGGGTAATGCACTCAGAAGCACCAGAGCTGACCTAGTAGCCCCCTATTCTGAAACCAAGGGAAAAGCTCAATAACTTCATTCTGCTCCTCTGATCATCAGTGTGATTGTTATTGCTGATCTCACTGAGGGAAAGACCCCATGCCCATCTTCCATTTTCAGTCCTCTTCTTACTCTGTTTTAGGATGTTTGCTTTCCCAGTGGCCCTTCCCTCTCTTTTTCCTTTCCTCTGTGCCTGGATGCTGAAGCAGTGATGAGGAAAGGGGTTATGGAAGAGGACAGATACACAGGGAACAGTTCTGAACTGAAAATGAACCAAGAAAAGAAGTGGATAAAAAGCAGTGAATCGAGTTACAGATCTGCTATTAGTGGCTGGATGAAGAGCCCTGCAGTCCCAAACACACAGAGGATTATAAAAACCCAGAGGAATACTCTGTCTATTACCATAGCTACGTATTTCCAATCATCTTCCACCTGCAAGAGGAAAAAAATGAAAAGGATAAACTACGTGTAATGTAACATGTAGTTGCAAGTTTTGCCCAGGGAAGTGGTAAATGCTCCATCCCTGGCCAGTGTTCAAGGCCAGGTTGGACAGAGTATTGGGAGACACGGTTTAGTGTGAAGTGTCCCTGCCCATGGCAGAGGGGTTGGAACTGGATGACCTTAAGGTCCTTTCCAACCCAGACTATTCTATGATTCTATGACATTATAGAATAGAAATGTCCCTTTTGCTTTTGAATGTGAGGAAGAACATATATGCAGTCAAGAATGTTGCTTGTTGTGCTTTTAGTTGCTGCAGTTTTAAATGTCTTTAGTGGGGGCTGATTTTCTAATAGCATTTACCACTTCTGGCTGAGAACATCCAGCACAGTCCTAGTGTGCTGAATTTTTCTAAATATTCAAACCTGTTGACAAGCTATGGCTGTGATGCTGACATTAACTAATAGGACCTGATCATTTGGTGGGTGCAGAGTGAGGTAGTTTAACAGCAGGCACCATAGCTGCTCATTACTAGACTTTGTCAAAGAATCTATCCTGGCAGCACACACAAGAGTTTGCTGTTCTGGCCTGATTTGGCACACTGTCACTGCAACCAAGCCCCACTGACTTCAGGAAACTGGAGAGTGGGTGACATGGACTATAGCAAAGCAAGGGTCCTGACTGAGCAAACCACAGTGTAGTGTGCTAAGCAGGCCAGAGTGGATCTTGTATGTCTGAGACACACCTTAGAACCACATTCAATGGAGCTGCTATCCTTTAAACTGTACTTACATACAAGGACCACTGTATCAGAACATTCACACATATAAAACTAGTGACTCATTAAGAGCTCTCTGCTGGGGGATATTGCACTTGTTTTCCCCGTTTCCTGATGCTTTTCTCCAAGAGGCTGCTGCTGTACTTCTTGTGAAAGAAAATGCAGCAAGAACTCCAGATGCTGTAAATGTTGCCACAGTTTTTGAAGGGCTTTTATTTATACAAGACTAGTGCGTGATGCCGCCCATATGGATTTGCATGTCTGGCCAAAGCAGAAGAAGCCTGCAGAATCATTTCCTTGGTGCCCTCCTGGGAACACACCTCTTTTTTCCCCAGAGAGAGGATTTTGAATGAAAAATCCCACTTCCTGTCATCAGTGCATTTTGAAAGGTAAGATACAGAGCTGCTGATGCACACATGGGACTTAAGAATACAATTGCACGTGGCAGGAGAGATTTGCAAAATGCAAATCAGCAGAAGTGTCAGTGGAAGACATCATGAGCTGTGTAATCAAGGTGGCATGTTATTAGGACTGCTTCATGCAAAGTTTCTTCTTTGGAGCGCACGGGAGAAATCAGCTGAATATGGTACATGGATGTGTTTTATGCAGCTGGTGTGACAGTGAGAGCAAAACATTAAGGACCTCCTCTGTGCTGACAGATTACTGTCTTTTGCCTTGGCCTGACTTCTCCTATGGATTCAGTCACCATGCCTTAGCAGTATATTTTCTTCAGAAAGGTATGGACTTTTTTTACAGAAAAAATTTCTCTTCAGGACACACCAAAAAAAAGTAATTTTTTTGTTGCACAGAAGTTTTATGCATTACTGTTGATTTCAACTAAATATTCTGATAGAGAGAATACCTTTCAACATTTCCCTCACAAAGTATTTGCGTTTTCAATACAAATACAGCAGTGTTTAATTCTGAAATGGTTTTTGTCATCATAGAGCATCTAAAAAACTTCAAAACCAAAAGCAAACATTTTATTACAAATAACGATAAATGTTTCATGAGATTCTAAACACTTTTTACAAACATATTGAAGTTTCAGATAATTCCTATTCCTTTTATGGCCTGGGTGTGTGGGATGTCAGATACTCTTTTTTGGAGGTTTATTTTGTTGCTTGCGTTTACACCTGAGGATGTGGCCCTGGAATTCTCTAAATTCCAATGTGCATCATCTTCTGTGACAGTAATCCCAGTTAGGATGAAAGGTTTGTAACCTCACCCAAGCAAATCTATTACTTCAAACATCAAGTTTCATTTTTAAATCCCTTTTTTTAATCTGTCTTCTCCCAAAACTCAAGTTTCATTTCAGCATATGTTTCTCATGGCAGAAAATACAATACTGCTGAAGCCACAATTAGTTAAATCACTAAAAATACCACAACACACCAGACTGAAACAAAGTACAGACAACAGCACCGAAAGGAATACTTTTATGAGACTTATCACTGTTTGAGAATAGTTCTCCAGATCAACCACTGCACTGCTAGACAAGCCCTGTTCTTTAAAATGCAGTTCACAAAATCTGTTTGCTCCATTACCAACACAGAAAAACACCCTGCTTGGCAAAAAGCATGCCTTGTATTGAGATGTCCCTTCTTACCAGGACTGAGCAGTTCGTGAGCAGTGGAAGAGTGTTGCTTCTAAAGATCTACAGAAGCAGGGTTGGAAGAGATCTTGAAACATCCTGTCTAGTTTATCCCCTGCCCTGTGGCAAGATCAACTCTGCCTGAATCACTGCTGATTCCTCATGGCGCAAAAGGCTGCTATTCCTCTGCTTTTACTTCAAAGGGTGAGCCTTATGTCTAATCTAAAACTGTCTTGCCTAAGTTATCCACTGGGGATAGAGGAAGACCAGATGAGATCACTGTTTTTTCCCCTCCCAAGTGGAAGATTTATTTTCTCCCTTTCTGTAGGAAACTTTGACCCATTCACAGGTCAAAGCATTTTCTTCTCAATACCCGACAATTCCAGTTCCTCTGGGCTGCCCTCCTAGGTCATATTTTCACCGCTGTAAGTGTGTCCCCATGCCCAGCTACGTGGTTCCCTCCCTTACCTCTTTGGTTTCATTTTGAGATCTCATGTTCTCCGCGATGAACTGAACACTGCTAATGACATCCTTCACTTCTGGGGAGTACTCCATGTGCTCTGCCATCCATTTCAGTGATGGATGGCTCAGCTGTCTTCTTTTGGTGGTAGTGAGTTCAGCTGCATTATCACAGTGACTGCATCGCTGCTCCTTGTGTAATTTGGCATCTTTGTGTTTGCTGTGCTTTGACTTGCCTGGTGTATGGGCTGATCCTTTCTTGTTTTTTCTGGACAGGTATTTTTTCTGCTGTTCTAGTGGTCTCTGCATCAACAGGACTTTGGGGAGCAGGTTAAGAAAGACTGTTTTTACCCATTTGGGCATTGTGTGTGTAGTTTGAGTCCTGTAATGTATGTTCAGGACAAACACCGTGATGACAATTGACAGAGTCACAAATATCATAGTAAATAGTAAATATTCTCCTACAAGGGGAATTACTAAAGAGGTGGATGGGATTGTTTCTGTGATCACCAGTAAAAATACAGTCAGAGAAAGGAGCACAGAGATGCAGAGAGTCACTTTCTCGCCACAGTCAGATGGCAGGTAAAAAACTAACACAGTCAAGAATGAGATGAAGAGGCAGGGAATGATCAGATTTATCGTATAAAACATGGGCAACCTTCGAATATAAAAGGAGTATGTTATGTCTGTATAGATCTCTTCACAGCAGTTATATTTGATGTCATGTTTGTAGCCAGAAGCATCAACAATTTCCCATTCACTATTTTCCCAAAAGTCATTCATATCTACTTTGGATCCGATGATCAGAAGATCAATTTTGGCTTTGTCATAGGTCCATGAGCCAAATTTCAGGGAACAGTTCTGATGGTCAAATGGGAAAAAGGTAATATCCATAGGACAGGAGCTTTTAAAAATAGCTGGTGGTGTCCAGGTGATCATTCCATCATAGCGAAGGAGGGCTTTGGTCTTGACTTCAACTTGAAAATCTCCCACAGCACTAGAAAAGCAAATGAGGCAAATAAAAGAAACCATGAAAACAGAATGTCTTTCATGGACACTGCAAGAGGGTAAAATGGAAAAGTGTTCATCATACTTATTATACAAGACAATATCTGGTTTCCAAATCTTATCTGCTGGTACCCGAACAAATTCAATACCATCATATTCTCTGGGATCCCATCGCAACTTATAGTCATTCCAAATCTGAAAGAAGAACAAAAAAGAATTTAAACCTCTTGTATTATCAGCAAATATCTGGTTCTCAGATCTTCCTGTAAAATGACAGGCTACGATAAAGGCTGAAAGTGCAGCACATGTGGAGGGGGACAATGGTCTGAAAGACAACAAGGCTGGGAGAAACACTGGACTTTTGTGAATATTACTCTGTTGATTTGGTAGTCCCTTCTCTGTGAGGGGATAGGAATGATTTCCATTGCTGCCATGCTGAGATTTCTTCTCTGTCTTGCTACATCAGTATAGATGCTTACCTCTGCAAGGTTACCTCCGCACTGCAGAGAGGAAATACATACAGGCCTTGCTGTTGCTGTCTTTAGAGTGCACCCTGCAGCACAGAGGAGGCCAGCATGAAAGGAGACGAGCGTTCTAATGAGGAAGGAGGTATGTATGCACACCGACAGGCAATTGCTTTCAGGAAACATTATTGATTCCACAAGGGTAGTGAAGTACCAAGTCAGGGGCAGTGAAGGATGCCCAACAGCTCTCCTGTCTTGCTGTCCAGTGCCCTACCACAGGGCCATGCTCCATGCTTTTCGCAGACTACTGTGAAGATCCTGATCATAAGTACAGTATCTTGTACAGAAAACTTTGTGTGGACCACAACCAGTGCCTGAAAGAAACATTTTTTTTTTGTGGAAGTTGGCTTGGTTTGCTCAGCTTTTATGGTCCTCTAAGGATCTCTGTCTATGTGTAAATGCTAAATATCTCAGGAAAAATGGATGCATGTTCCTTTTGCCAGTAAATGTTTTGGATGAAAACGTCAATATGAAGATGACCTCGTGCTGCACAGCTGCATATTTAATCACTCTTTAATAGGTACATCCAGCTAGATCTACCAGATAAACCAATGATCATGAAACAGGGGGAGAATATATCACAGAGGAAAGATGGGAGATGTAAATTTTTTGGAAATAAGAATAAATAAATTATTTTGTCAAATATGGCTTTGGTTAATAGTGCTTCTCCTTATTCATAGCTTTAAAATCCTTGTTATGAAAACAAGCACTCTGTATATGTAGCTTTCAAGGTAAGGTAACATGGGTGATCACATCAACCCTAAACCATCTTGTCCGTGAACTGCTCTTTGCTGATGATGCCGCCCTTGTTGCCCACACAGAAGCAGCTCTGCAGCGTTTAACATCTTGCTTTGCGGAGGCGGCTGAGGTTTTTGGGCTGGAAGTCATCTTGAATAAGACAGTAGTCCTCTACCAACCTGCACCACAAGAAGATCATCGCCATCCCCATATTACCATCGGCGAGTCAGACCTTAAGACAGTTCAGCAGTTCAGCTATCTGGGAAGAATCATTTCCTCGGATGCCACGATCGACAAAGAGATAGACAACAGAATAGCAAAGGCATATAGAGCCTTCGGAAAACTCCATAAAAGAGTCTGGTGTAATAAACACCTGAAGAAAAGTACAAAGGTCAGTGTCTACAGAGCCATTGTATTGCCTACTCTTTTATATGGATCTGAATCATGGGTCATCTACCGTCATCACCTGCGACTCCTGGAACGCTTTCATCAGCGCTGCCTCCATACAATTCTAAACATCCATTGGACTGACTATGTGTCTAATGTCACTGTCCTCGAACAGGCAGGGGTCACCAGTATCGAGGCCATATTGCTGAAACTGCAGCTGCGCTGGGCAGGGCACATCTCTAGAATGAAGGATCACCGCCTCCCCAAGGTCATGTTTTATGGTGAACTTGCCACCGGTAGCCGCAAGAGAGGTGCTCCAAAGAAGAGATATAAGGACTCCCTGAAATAATACCTTAGCCTTGGCCATATTGACTACCATCAGTGGTCCACCTTGGCCTCCAATCGGGAGACTTGGAAGCACACCATACATAATGCCGCTGACTCCTTTGAGAGCTCACGAAGAACTAGTCTCGAGGAGAAAAGACAACGCAGAAAGAATCGCGCCCCACCTGTTCCACCCAAGGAGACCTTCTGCTGTGCTTTTTGTAGCCGGATTTGCCTATCCCACATTGGCCTTCTTAGTCATCAGCGCGCCTGTAGTAAGCGTGGGTAAAAGCCCTTCCCAAATCTTCGTTCGCGAAGTCAAGCCATGATGATGATGATGATGATGATGATGAACATGGGCGATCACATCAATGCAAAATGCATGAAAAATGCAATGCAGAGTCACTTACATGTCTTAGCCACAGATTTGTTTCCATGATCTGATTGACTTCATCCTAGAAAGAAACACAGGAATGTACGTCTTCAATCCATGAATCAGTTACAGTATCCAGAGATGGCCAACTTGTTTGATAAAAAAGGAAACTAGAACTTCACATTAACTGATACCAGATTTTTTCTGACTTACTTTTACCTTGGTTTACAATGCCTTCATTTATCCTTAGCTCCCTGGCTGCTGTTGAATGTTGCTCCTCACAGTTTGCCTGTCACTTCATTATGAACTCAACTAGGTACCTTTTAATCAAAACGCAGCACCTGTTCTGTGGATAATTTGCTTCACAGAGCAGACTTTAGCAAGGGTTAAGGTCAGGTTTTGTTTCTTCTACAGTCCCTCTGCCCTGCCTAGCAGGTCTGCCATCTTAGACACACTCACCTATGTATATAGTGCACCCCAGAACACACAACTGTCATCCCTGCACTTTGTAACAGCACTCTGCAGGCTACACAGTGGGTTCCCCAGAGAGGAGGTGGGTGTCTCATCCCTGACAGTGTTCAAGGCCAGGCTGAATGGGGCTTGGACAACTTGGTCCAGCAGAAGGTGTCCCTGTCTGTTCCAGGGGGGATGGAGCTGGGTGATCTTCAAGGTCCTTTCCAGCACAAATCATTCTATTCTGAAACAGACTGAAAAAACTTGCAAAAGAAGAAGATTATATCTCTCAGGACCACTGAGAAACAACATGGACTCCACTAAAGAGCTAGCCCACATGCTACTCAATGCAGACACAACCAAGTGTCTGTGGCATGGGCTAGCCCTGTGGAGAGTGGACTTGATCTTTGAGTACTGCTGCTTCAAGTGCCAGAGGCTGCTGCCCAGGGTGGAGGAATTTGATGCTACAGAACAAGCAAACCAGGTTGTGCAGTTTGAACTGCTCATTTGAGCAACTGGAATAACTCCACTGACAGAAAGAACAGCAAAGGTCTCAGCATGTATACAAGTGTGCATCATGATTACATCTGCTGCTTTAGTAACTTTGTGTGTTTGCAACCACCCCCAAAACAAAGCAGTATTCTGTAAGCAGCCTTACCACATTTGTGAGCTGGGTAATGGCGACTTCAAAATACACAGTGACAGGATCAGACACATTTTCCACTGGTCTGATGAACTGGTTGTACTGGGAGAAGAGTTTGTGAAACAACCGTTCCTCTGATTCACAGGCTGTGGTATCTGTGTAAGATAGAAATAAAGAACAACTATGTCAGAGGTAAGGAAGAGGGAAAGAAGGCGGTAGGTAACATATTGGTTCATGCTATATTTCTGGATGCTGTGCTTGTGACCATGTATCAAGACACACGGTTGAAAGCATTCTTCCACAGGATACTGCCCACTGCTCCTTCTCAAAGTGTCTCCTATGCTAGATCTAGCCTATGGGCCTCTCTTTGGCCCAACCCCCCGGCTATCAGATCAAGGTAGAATAAAGTGGTATGAAGCAGAAAAAGTAAAAATGTTTTGGGTTTCATCTTTGAAAGGTTTTTAGGGCAAAATTGAGAGTTTATGAAAAGCATAGCTACTTACTCAGAAATTCAAAACTTGAGGTTGCAACTACTGCGTCTAAATCTATGTCAGAGACCCTGATTAGGTTGTTATAATGATGCCTCCTAGTCTTAAAAAATATGACTACATTTTATCCCTATATTCGTTATTTCAGCTCTTCAAATAGCACAATTTTTGCTCTGAAAAAGGTTCATTTATTAAGTTCTATGAGAAAAAAGTGGAATTATTAAAATTTTTCTAGAATAGCATGCATCTTTGTAATACAGACCTGTTCTTTGGGAACAAGCAGATCATAGCTGTAACCCCCAGTCAACGCAGGACATACTGGGTGGCTTAGCAGGAATTAGGTATAAGAAAGGCACTAAGCTGCCTCACTGCTTGCTCTTCATATTGAGCAGAGCTACGTTATCGAAGTTATGTGATGATGCCAACAATATTACTGATACAACTGAGGAAAAATTTGTTTTTCAGATAAATGGTCATAAGTTTTGGTGTCCCAGATTGTGCTAGAACATATCAGTAAAGAAGTCATGATAAGACTTTATGACTGCAAATTTGAAACATAGAAGGGGTTTGTGTCAGGCAGTGTGGACTCTGGCACAGCATGGGACATTTACATTTTCTTCAGTGAACACAAAGGCCTGTGGTTGTACAGATGTCTTCCAGGGAGGTGCTTAGTCTCAGCATACTGCACTGTTTTCATGCTTAGGCTGTCCTTCCCCAGGTTTTTCTGCCTCTAAGGTACGCTCAAACCATGCTCAGATTCTGGGGATTATCACAAAAGCTGAAATGTTGGTTATTGGTGACTTACGTATATGGAAAGAAGAATCAAGTTATTTCCATAACTTGATTTTTTTGTTTTATCTTTTAGCATAATTCAGAGAAGATACATGAGCGTCTGTAAAGTCTGGATGTCTGTGTATCATATAGTGTGCTATTCAACAAGGAAATTTCAATTTCCTTTTCAAGTTTCTCCATCATCATCTATCACACCGTGACTAGAATTACCCTACCATGGGAACATGAATTTCTTGTCAAAGTCTCATGACTAAAGCCAGTAAGTCTAAAATAATTTTTCATTTGATATTTTCCTCCTGGCTTTTTAAGAGACACGTGCCTTAAAAACAAAATAACAGAGACAGGCAAGTATTTCAGACTTTCAGTTTTGTACTTCAGTTACAGATTCTTGTCCCACTGGTGCTGCTTTAAGACAATGCCTTCTGCCGTGCTAGCACAGGCTCTGTGATTCATACCTGTCTCTGTCATCAGCAGAAGTGAGACTTTCAAAAAAAAAAAAAAAAAGAAAAAAAAAAAAGATGTAATGTCTTAAAAGGAAAAATCCTGCAGAACCTCTCTGAGACTTGTGCGTGGATATCACTTCAGGTCGTTCAACCACAGATTGCAAACAACGGTGAAATAAATATATCACTTTCTGAACTCTGAAGGTGTGAGAACCAAACACGCACATCTTTAGCCTGCATTATTTAAGCAACTGCAAACTTAAGCATCAAATGAAACTACTATAATTCCTATGTAATTTTCATTTTTTGCTAGAAACAGTTCCTCAATTAGTTATCTAACCAAAATTAAGTGGTTTATGTGTGAAAACCAGTATTGCTTTAGTTCTTTTAAAATATTGTTACAGACTTCAAGTTAGAAATAGCCGGTAAAAGCTTTAGATTGCATTCATTCCAGGAGAAAAGAAGTAGAGACAGTGACTAGCAAATATTTTAGAGACTAGTATCAAAGAGATCCTACCTTTAATCAAGGATGTGAACATGAATGCCAACACACAGAAAGCAGGGTAACGGCAACGTAACCACCTCTCAGAATGCATTGCTAGCAGCAGAGTAGACCTTCTTTTTGAAAAGAGAGATCTGGGGAAAGAAACAGAAGGTAAGAAGACACACAAGCCCCCTGGACAATAAGGAGTCCACACGAAGATGGATTTCAGTTTTGCATTTGCAGGAAACTGCAGTCTGCTGAGCAGAGCCTTGCAAAATTGCTACCACTGTCACCAGGGGAGGAGAGCTTATGCTATGCAGAGAGAAGGGAGTTGGGCAGCATCCTATCAGGTGACTTTTAACATATCCAGTCACGCGCACCCTTGCCTCTGGGGGAATTGTAAGAGTGCAGGAGAAAGAGGGAAGGCAAAACACAGGGTAGCCAGCGTGGAGAGGGAAAGGAAGAGGAATTCACTCAGCCCTTCATCCCTTGGTTGAAGAACAGTCATCCAAAAGCAGCTGCTTAGGCTATTGCTTCGTGCTCACCTGAGTGAGCTTGTCAGAATATGAAGAGGCAAAACAACTTCAGTGTCTTGGCTGAGGACCAATTCTGCAGCAGAAGAAATGGATGCTGTATGGTTTTAACACCTCCACCAGAAACCATCTAAACCTTGAAATAAACACAGCACCATGTGACAGACTTGCTTGACAGTATTATGTATGAATAAATCTAAGGCAAGTGGATTTTTTACTGCCATGTGACATGAACAACTAAGCATGCAAAGTTCTTTCCTGACAGACAAGTCATTTCACAACATAAATTTTTCTGTCATTTCTTGTGTGAGCAGTGACTCCTGTGCCAGTATCCTGCAAGTGTGGAAATGCAGCAGTAGAATAAAGGAAAAACACCACGCACTGCTACAAAAGTACCCAATATGCCAAATTCACTGGGATAGAGTGTCAGTTTTTATCACAGAGGTTAAAAACACCAGAGATCATGATCCTGAAGAGATTAATGTGTTCACTCCTCAACTGGTCAGTATTTGCAACAGGAAGGTCTGAAGAGGCAAAGGGTCTGAAAAACTGACCCCGTTTAACTGCAGAGGGGTGGGAGGCACCACAGCTTACCCCTGTGGCAGCTGGGACAGGGGATATTCTTTATGTGCACTTAATCCAGCATGAACAAGTCTGGGTGGCTGGAGGAATGATTTGATCAAAACAGAAATGCTGCTGATTTCCAGGCAGTTACATTGTGTAAATGCGGAGAGAAGGGAAAAGCTATCAACAGAAAAAGAATGCCCTTCATACTGCAGAACACAGGCAATGCTGCAGCTCAGGATAAGAAAGATTTATCTGTATACAAGTTGTTAAAATATGGGAAGAAGGAAAGAGGTCTGTCTGGAAGAAAGACTTAGAAGTGAGTTTCCTGTATAGAGAAGGTATCTGAAGTGGGCAGAGTCACCCATGGAAAATTTTGAGGGATGAAAAGGCAGTCTTGGAGGATTACTAACAGAAGCTCTACTCCAGAGCTCACTGGAGTCTGGGAGCCTGGAGCAAACAGATGAGAAAACAAAAAGATGAAACTGCAAGAGTGTCTGAAGGGCTGGGAATCATCTTGCACTCTCAAAAGCTTCTAACCAAATATGCTTGTAACTGGATACCACAATGCATGAGTATGAGGCATCTCCAAGCTGAATTTTACATTCTCTCACAAATGATTTTAAGATGAGAATGTGGGATTCAGCATAGTGATTTTTCTTGTAATTTTCCATTTTGCCAACATTTTCCAAGCAAAAATCTAAAACCCACAAAAATATTTTGCTTTGTGTGAGCTTTTTCCAAGTTGCAGTGTTTGTTAGAATGATGTTAACAGTCCAGATCCATAACCTTACAGTTTTCTCACATTATCCAATGAACCTCATTCTTACTCCTTGAATTTATGTTGCCCATAGTGTACTGTGGCTAACAGAATCACAGGATGCCTGTGGTGGCTGCAGTCACGGGATATGCACTCCTGTTAAAATTCCAGTGCTTTTAGAAAGATGACATATGATAGCATAGTCAGATGCAATTTGAAAGCAAACTGACCCCAGATTAAAATATTTTGGCATTCCCAAAATTCTTGTTCTTCCAAAAATACTGTCAGGACGGTGAACTGGATGTGAGAAGTTAACATACCTGCAAATGCATACCTGGGTTAAACTGAAAGGTCTTCAGAGATTAGGGTACTGAGTCTGTTACCCTCCAGAGAGAAAGAGCAATGGCAGGCCAACTTGAGGTAAAGGTCTGCTTTGGTATGTGAGGAAGAGTCTGGGGAAACAGGCAGAGTTAGGAGGCAGTATCAGTCATTCAGTGAGCAGGTGGCAGGAGGGATTGTGCCATAACTGCCCTGCTTATAGGGCCCTGTTGGAAGGGGTGCTGCTTATGAGACAGACTGAAAGGGAAGGCAGAGTTCAAACTGGGCCATAACATGCAGCTGATGAGGCATCCAGACAGGGTCCGGAGTGACCAGATGAAGTATTGCCTTAGCAATAAGAAAGCCAGTGGGGAACAGAGCAAAACGTTTGTGAATCATTGCTGCTAGGGAAGGTACCTCATTGAATCTAACATGAACTAGCCAATGAAGGCATTGACATGCCAAACTCAAAAATCAAGCACATACAGATCGGCTTTCGCCATCTTTTCCTGCCATGTGTAGAAGAAGAGGCTGATTTAGTCCCTTTACATGTGCTTTTACTTTCCAAGAACACACTGACTAGGAGAAAAGTCTCTGGCTTCTTTTCTTCAGGTAGGGTAGCTTAGGCAAAAGAGGACAAGAAGCTTTCAGGGATGCACAAAATCTGCCCACTATAAAGGTTTCTAGCACATGGGTGCACCTTACCACTGGAGCTTGACATTGTAAAAGTTTCACAGTGTTGACTGTGGAAAAAACCTGTTAGGACCCATTTAGAGAGTTGCCTGTGTGCCCTGGAACTCCGGCTGAAGACACATGCCCCAGTACCACTGTCAATCCTAATGACAGGTCCTGCTAACTGTTTGCTAACTACCACTAGGCAAGTGAATTTGCACCTAGGGGTACCTGCTCCACTTTCCATTGCTGGTCTAGAAGCACTGTGAGGGGATGAACTGCTTCTCACAGTTTTCTTGCTCCCATCTAGCCACACATTTGCTTTCTGTGTCCTTGCTTATTGTGTCCTGTCCAAGCTGTGAAGATGGCATGGATCTCAGCAGCATTGCGTGTTATGTCTTCTCTGCTACTTACTGCTTTTGCAAGCAGACAACTGTTAAGGAAGTAATCAATTCAGCTACAGCTCATTCTTACCTGGGTTTTCACACACAGCACTTCCCTGGGCATGGCATACCTACTGCTAATAAAAATTATGCCAGTGCAAGAAAACGGTAAAGGGAGAGTGAAAGTATCAGTCAAATCACACATCTTACTGGCAGTTCTCTAGTCAGCCTTGGACAGCTTCTTCATTAGCCGAGTTAAGGTAATGAGGGAACTTGGTAAAGCTCACAGACAGGGGGGAGATTTCTGAGAGTGGGAGATGCTTTGCTTGAGCAGGAAAATGAAAGACAGGCTCTACCAGGAGAGGTATAAAGCTGCATTGAAGGATCCAAGTGATGAAGGACTAGTTTAGTCTGCAGAGTTGGTTGGGACTAGTGCTTTTCTCGTGCTTGTGCTGCATATGAACTCAGCTGCTTGTGAACGCTAACATTTTACCCTAAAATGCTCTGTTCTGATTCACAACATTTGGACACTGTCACTTCCAGGTCTTTCAAGCTAAGCTGCTATTCCTTGTTAGGTATAACTCCAGCTGACAGTAGAAATAAAGCAGACATTTTAACTATTCAAGGCACTGCATACTCTGGGCAGGGAGGCAGAGGCCATCTCCTGTACGTGCACACATGTGCAGAGCCATGAAGTTCCACCTGTGTGAAATCTGGCGCATCTTCTACATAAATGCTTGACATGGAAATCCAACTGGCAACACCAGCCTGCCAAACCCTAAATTTTTTAGAGACCCAGTATAATTTCATACAGCTGCACAGGAACAATACCAACAGCAGCGCTTCTTCACTCTTTTCTTTAATTATTCTTCTGTGGAGTGAAAGCCATAGGGAAGTGGAGAAACACAGCTCTTCCTGGGGCACTGAAGAACAAAACATGATATCGCTCTTTGCTCTGACCTTTCACACGCCTTGTCTGTGCCAATTACAGGCTCATGTGAGCAGAAAGTTTCTATTAACCTCTGTTAGCATTGCAGTTGGGATGTCCTGTTTTGTTTGACTCCTGGATATCACTACAATAAACCAGGCTAATATACCATACACCAGTAAAATATTAGGAATCCAGTTTTCACTGCCACATTGGCAGATATTCAGCTATCATGGGTGCATTTCCAGGTCATCACCCTTTGCTTAAGTGTTAGCACAGCCCAGCTTGTCACATCTCACACCTCAGTTAGTACAATCACACAGCTGGTTCATCTTGTGCACTCCCTACAGCAAAGCCTGTGGCTCACCCACATGTAAACCCTGGGCTTTGGGTGATCTGCTCTGGAGTCTCAAGTGCCAACAGCATTTGCTCTCTGACTCGATAGGCACTGACCAGTGGCTTCTAGTGTGCAGGAGATATGAAGGAGGAGTAAGGATGGAACTTCAGTGGTACTGTGTGAAAATGTGCACAGTGATACGCTTATGCTTTGGTTCATTTAATTATATTAAAGCTTTCTTTGTGTGTGCTAGTCAGATTTTAAATGATGGGTGGGAAGAGGCCTTGTAGCTTATGTTGATTAGAGAATTTCCACATACTGAGCATAGAATTTCTTTAGTTCAGTAGCTTCCTCTGTGATACAGTCCTTTCTTCCTTTTGTTTTGAAGAGACTGAAGCACAATACCTCTGTCAGGCATTGCCTGTTGCCCCAGCTATAAAGTCTGGTAAGTCAGGCAGTGACTACACACTGAATAGCCAAGTACATTACTGAGGATGCCTATTCCCATGATGCTTCCTGCTAAGCAGCAGAAGTAACCAGAGTACAACATGAAGATCCATCTTTTATAAGGTGCACCTCCAAATCACCTTCCATTGCACATATGGGGTCAAAAAGCACGCATCTTTTATCTCTAAACTTTAAGCATTCCTCCTGTTCCCTTCTGATCCCTAAGGAGTACAAAGCAGCATGCACAGAATCCAGGCAGGAGCTATGTGTATGCTGATTAGTGGACATGTGCTGACTGGCCATATGTGTGTTTCCAAATGAGAT